TTGCACCTTTATACCTATATATAGACGCACACACATATATATGTAGTTGCAGATGTTCTGAATTACATTTTTTATATTATTGGATACTACTAAGTGCTGATATATTTTCATTACAGTCAGCAGTTTTCTAACTCGTGCCTAAGACTTGTATCTAAACAAAATGCATTTCTGTTTAGCCTCCCAGGAATATTTATACCCAACCTAGAAGAAAGTTACACAGAAGTAGAAGCGCCTTTCAAGTGACCACCAAGTGGTACTCTATGTAACATGAACACCAGCGAATTTGAAATTCTAAGACAGTACTGCCTTCAAAACCATCACCTTTGCATTGAACACCAGAAAAGATATGCATACCATCCTCTGCTTTTTAACTCTTAGCATTGATATTGTAAGTGGAGATAGGCTAGAGATGAGAAAACTGAGAGTTTTAGCAAATTTGGTAGAGGTTACTGGCTAACATCGTTCAATTTTAGTGTATTTCAATCCTAGTCAGATCTTTTCTTGTTTTACCTTGTTGTGGTTAGGATGCAATTGAAATCTCTGGCTGTAGGTTTCTGTCCATTTTGTATTATTTCCAGGCCCAGAAGCAAGAATTAGAAAATAAGTTGTTTATCCTTGACCTTTGCTGGATGAGAGGTTTCCAATAGTAAGATGAGATACTGGGCATCTGCTAGGGCTCTAGCTTCCTTCCACCTCAAATGCCAAATAGAGCATAGTCAGCTTCATAGGTGCAGATGAAGTCAGAATTTCATTCCTTCCACATATCTACATTATTTTACATTGCTACAGCTTACCCAGAGTTACAGAGCACTTTGAAGATTCACGGAAATGAGTGGCTAAACTACCTTTAACTTTCCCATCTAGAAGCAAAAATGTTCACCCAGGCTTGGGGTGACCTCCCACCTGAGAGGATGGTGAGGCTGAGGAGTAGCTGGGGTGACACTGTCTGCAGGGCCCTCATGGGCATTGCTAACAAGATAAAAATATCCCTGAGCATAATTTAAAATACAAAGATATCTCTGGGATGCTTTTCTACCCAGCTTAGACAAACAGCCTGCATGCAGGCCTGCTCTGTGCACTGGGGCCAAAGTTAGCAGCACGACAGTACCTGGAGGAAATCCCCGAGGTGCAGGAGTGCTGCAGGAGGAGTGACTTTCTCACCCGCTTGTGTGGTGGCACCAGCAGGCCCTGCACCCACAGGGGTGGCACTGCACAGCCCTGCCATTCTACTCGAGTGGGAGCTGTGCTTCAGCTTTCCTGGGAAATACTCAGGATTCACAGACTGCGGCTTAGATACAGCTTCAACCGCCATCAAAACAACTGTGGCCTGTTCCACAGTGTTAAAAAGAAAGATGATTTTTTTTTCTCCTTTTTAGAGAAATTTATTTTTGTAGCAGCTTTTGCATGGTACTGTGTTACTGAGTAAATTAAGCATCTTGTTAGATTAGATCATGCCACACCAGCTACTACTGTTGAAATGCATTGCTAGATTTTAGTGTGTCCAGCAGGTACAACCTGAAAGATAGATACCTAGCACGCACATGCACACACAGCCCCTTCTTGCCAAGTATGACTTTAATCACTTTGATACTTGCTAACTGCACAGCTATTTGCAACACCTACAGCATTGTCATCTTTCATTCCAATAGAATTCTGATACAGTGAGATCACAGACTCATGGGGTGATTTGGGTTACAAGGGAACTTTAAGAGTATCTAGTCCAGACCCCACTGCCATGGGCAAAAACATTTTCCACTAGATAGGTTGCTCAGAGCTTCATCCAACCTGGCCTTGAACACTTCCAGGAATGGGGTATCCACAACTTTTCTGGGCAACCTGTTCCAGTATCCTACCACTCTCACTGTAAAAATGTTTTTCCTTATGTCCCATCTAAACCTATCCTCTTCCAGTTTAAAACTGCTGTTCCTTGTCCTATCTTGTCCCTTGTCCCTGTCCTTTACTACAGGCCCTGGTAAAGTCTCTCTCAATTTTATCTTATAGGCCTCCTTGAAGTCCTGGAAGGCTGCTAAAAGATCTCCCCTAAGTCTTCTCTTCTCCAGGCTGAACAACTCCAAGTGTCTCAGCCTGTCTCCATAGAAAAGGTGCTCCAACCCTCTAAGATCTTTGTAGCTCTCCTCTAGACCAACTCCAATATGTCCACATCCTTCTTATCCCCAGAGCTGGATGCAGCACTCCAGGTCGGGTCTCACAAGAGCGGAGTAGAAGGGCAGAATCCCTCCCTTGCAGAATCCCTCCCTTGTCCTGCTTGCCACGCTGCTTCGGATGCAGCTCAGGTTACAATTGACTTTCTGGGCTTTGAGCACCCATTGTTGGTTCATGTCCAGACTCTCATCCACCAGTATTCCGAAGTCCTTCTCAGCAGGGCTGTTTTCAATCTCTTTATCCCCCAGCTTGTATTCTTACTAAGGGCTGCCCCGACCCAGGTGCAGGACCTTGCACTTGGTCTTGTTGAACCTCATGATGTTCACATGGACTCACCTCTCAAGCCTGTCCAGATCCCATTCCTTCCAGTGTACCACTTGAACCACTCACCTTGGTGTCAATCCACAGACTTGCTGTGGATGCACCTGATCATGCTGTGGATGCACCTGATCCCACTGTCTGAGACATTTAATGTATTACACAGTATAGGTCCCAGTACTGACCCCTGAGGGACACCACTTCTTACTGATGGCTGTTTGGACATTGAGCTGGTCTGGATGCAACCATCCAGCCAATTCCATATCCAGCTTCCATCCATCAAAGCTGTATCTCCTCACTTTAGGATGCTGTGTGGGATTATGTCAAAGGCCTTGCAGAGTCCAGATAAATGACATTATCTCATCCCTCACTCACCAACACAGTCACACCATTGCAGACGGCCATCAGATTAGTCAGAGTAGCTTGTTGGTAGTTTCTAGGATTCTCCTTTTTACCCTTTTGTAAAAATGGTTGAGATGATACAACTGGAGTTATTACCTTGATGCTACTCAAAACTTTAAATGCACTATAGCATATTATTGGCCCAGGACAGGCTAGCAGAACATGTTGTAATTTATTAATCTTTCCCCTCTATATATGGTGCTTCCCTTATCACTTTGTTGGTTTAAAATCATATTCAAGAGATGCTTCCAGCAGTGAATTGGGAGTGGGGCTTTTATAGCGGGAAAACCGGGACTGAACCTAGCTCCATCATCATTTGGTATCATTTCCAATGCCTTTCCCATCTAATTTTTCCTCCCAATCCTGCCTCTCACTGGATTCTTCCTTGGCACACCCTCTGGGGCCTGCCCAATCACTAGCCACCCAGCAACCTGGCCCTGTGGGGGGGTGTGTGTGAAGAGTGGCTCCTTCTGGTGCAAAACCAGAAACACAGACTTTTTCCCCCAAAATAGGTTATTCCTTTTTTGTACTTTTCCTCTGTCCTGTCTTTCTTTGCCTCTGCATACTGAAGTATTATGAAAGAAAAGCCCAGGCCACTGAGACAGTGGGAGGAAGGCAGCAGCCCCTGAATGGGGTAGCCATTCCCAAGGAATGAAGATCCCCGGAAGCAGGGCCAAGCTGGGAAGGGGAAGTGTTTGCTTTTGCAGGGCTGGAAACTTCCCAAATGCCATGGCCACTGTGTGGACTTTCCCATTTGGAAATAGGATAGCCTTTGGCAGGAGAGGGAATGTAGCCAGCAATAAGCAGAAAGGGCTTCTTAATCTCTGTCTTTAAGGAAGCTGTTTGATTTTGTTAATCTTTACTCAATGCAGAAGGGTCTAGCAGCAATAAAACCAGCCTACAGCTGCTCCCAAGGAGTTCCAGAGATGGGCACTGGGAGCAGGTATCAGCCATGGGATGGCAGGAGAGCCAGCAGCGAGCGGGGGGCATGGAAAACTCCTTTTTATTGAGGGAGGGTACCATTTGGCCCTACTGGGATTGCACCTCCAGTGACTGCTGGCACAAACAGGTTGACTCACTTGATGCACAGCAGCAAAAGCTTGTGGTGGTGGCAGGTGGGGGGAGGAAAGGAAAAACAATCAAGTGCAAAATCAGGTATTTTGTCTCTGCACTGATGGTGGTTGTGTCCCATGGACACTCTGAGGAGCCTCTGTACAGTTTCCCATGCAGCAGGAGTTCTGTGGTCCTCTTTATTATGTGGCTAATGATTACAGGAAGAGTTTGTATTATTTCAATTATGATGTACAGATAAGTGTAATATATTCCTGACAATAAATCCATGTGCCAGTGCACCTGTGGGCTGACGGAACAAACCAGCATGTCCTGCCGTGTTTTCTGAGCATACAGAAACTGGGATGAATGGGAAACAAAGCAAAAGCCCATTAGAGGGTTACCCCATTAAGGTAAAGATGGAAGCTAGATAGTCATTAGCTTCCTGGCAGCAGGGCTGGTCAGCTGCCTTACCTGACAGTGGCTCACATGCTATGAGTTTCCATGGACTCATTTCCTAGGATGCTTCCAATATGACTGGGGCTGCCAGCACAGTTGAGTGTGGTCTCCAATGTTTCCATTAAAGTGTCATGCTGCAGCACTTGATAACAGGAACATTTCTGCCAGTGGTTCAGGCTCATCAACAAACACCTGAACTCCCCAATGTTCCAGTTCACTCAGTTTCAACACCCCATTCTCTGTCCCCTTCACCCCGCCCTCCTGCTGAGAGCCACAGAACTGCTCAGGTTTTGCCGCAAGGATTAAAAAGGGACCGGGTCATACCCCACCTTGGGAATGTGCCTGACAACATCATCCTGAAAGATTTTCCACCAGGCCCTTGGCTTGCTCAGCACAGATAAAGCTTTGGTAAGGACACAAGATTCATGTTTTCACTGAAGAGAAGCTGGTAGCCAGGTAGGAAAAACATCCTTATATTTTTAGTACAATATGAAACTTTGATCCTCAGTTTTCATCTTGTTGCCCTCCCACCACCTTTTAAGTGCCTTTTGGGAGGCTGTGGAGTGTGTTGAGCTTGCCTGTGTTTAAAAAAAATAGACTTCAACTTATTGGCTTTTAACTTCTGTATTAATCTCCCCCTGCTTGAGTAAGACTTTGTATATGCACAAGGAGTAAGGCTTAACAGATGGTCAAGACCCAGTGACTGGAGCAGACCCCCGACTTTGTTCTGTGGGGGAAGCTGCACTCATCACACACCCTGAAGGGCACCTAGGAGGCAATGAACACATTGCCTTCACTTCCTCAAATTGCCATCCTGTCACAAAAAGCCTCCCAGTGTACTAAAATTAAAAGATGAAAACCCTTCAGTGGGCTATAAATTCTCTTGGAAACATGAGAAATAGTCCACAATCCAGCCATAAAATCCAGGAGATGGTCTGATTCCCTTTTCTGCTGCATCAGATGCCTGGTGAGACCCTGGGCATGTCATGCAGAGGTCTGTTCAGTTCTCCAACTCAATGACAGGTGCAAGAACCTGTTGCTTCATCAGCAAGAGCCATGCTGACAAATTAAAGACTGTCCAGTGTTCAGAGGCAGTAGTATGAAGGACACCTAGGAAAGCATCCACTCACATCGGGAAAGGGGATTTCTGCAGTATCTATCTGGGATGCTCTGACCCCAGAAGTGTCTGAGAGCAGGTTAGACAGGGTTTTGAACAACCTATCTAGTTAAAGATGTTCCTGCTGATGTCAGGTAAGCTGGACCAGATGATCTACAAAGGTCCCTTTGCAACCCAAACTATTCCACAATTCTATAATCTGTTTTTCAGTACAAGCTGAAGCATTAATTTAGATCAGTGGGATTACTTGGGCATGGCTAACCTTCACGGTGCTTTAATAAACCTTTTTAGGGCAGTGGATTAATTTGGCTAGGGAAAGCTATTAGAGAGAATTAAAACAAAAAAAAACCAACTTACAGCCAAAATCAAGACATTGCCAATCAAATACAGATCCTGGTCCCAACTCCAAATTTCCCGCCTTACTACAGACAGGCTTTGGAGATGATCTCCAGCCGCAAAGGGAAAGCTCCCCTCAGCAAGTCAGACCCTAGAGTTTAATGGTGTTTTCTGGGCTGCACGCTCTGCCAAGATTGAAAAGTCCCTGCACAGCCCCACAGCCACCCCGGGCAGGGGGCTGAGACCAGGCATTGCTCATGCAAGAATCTCATGCCTCTGAGGATCCTCCTGTGCTTCCCTTCCCAGGGCAGGAATGTGCTCCACCTGCCAATGCCAAACCAAAGTTGCTAATGCCAAGCAGCAGCACAGAAAACTGATGTGGGGCGAAAGAACATAGGGTTGCACTTGCTGTCACAGTAGCTCAGTTCTGCTGGCCAACCCCACCACTACAGCCACACCACTGGTGATTTCTGAAGCCAAGAGGCAGGACTGCTTTTTGGAGACACCTGTTGCTTTCAAGCCCTGGCAGTACTTGCACCATGTGGGTTCCTGACTAAAGCTGGCAATTTCTCTGTGGAGCATACAGTTGGGAGAAACACCTGCTGGTGTTACCTGTGTGCTGGCGAGCAATCACTCACCTGAAAATCAGCAAGCATTAACTTTCTCAACATTTCCCAGCAATGACATGCTTGAAAGCATGTGACCACATAGCTAAAAAACCCAGTTAAATAAAACAAAAAAGTTAAAATCTGGTATTTTAAAGAATGCAAATCTTACAGGAGCTTTGTTAACCTGGGGAAATCTAGCGATTGTGAGAACCTTTTTTTTGTGTGCATACACAGAGGGTACAGCTCACATAGGGTAAAGGATAGATCCTGGTTTATGCCTGACAGTAGCACTGCAAAACCTGCTCCATGCAAAATTGGGAAGAATATCTGTTGGGAGGTAATTCCCAGTGCTACTGAAAGAAGGACATTTGTGAGGCCTGGTTTCATAGCAGCATTTGCACACAGAAGCAGTTCTCTTTCTACACACTGGGGAAAAAAAAACAAAATCTGAGAGGGAGAAAGGGAAGCACCCCAGATGAGCTGCCAGTGCTGCTGGGAATATGGCAGAGTTGATTCTTTTCATCTTGTAGTCCCTTTTAACTGTGCTGCTAAACAAACTGCAAGCTGCAGTAACCAAGCTGGGGAGTCCTGCATTCTGCTTCCGTGTTCCTGATAACTGATTACAGGTGTAATCTGGTTCAGGATCCCCACCACAAAGTTTCTTTCACTGCAGCCATTCTTTCAGCCACCCATAAGTCAATCACAGTCATTTGCAGCTGTCTGAGCCAGTGTCTGTGTTTCTCTCCGCTTCTGCTGAGGCCGCATAGCTGGCTTCCACACTGTGCCATATTCCATAGGTAAAGTAGATGATAAAGCCTGTGGAAGCCAAAGGAGAAGGCACTGTTAGCTCTGTAAAGAAACAGAAACCTCTGCTCACAGCCACAAGTTACACCAGTCTAAGTCCAGCCATCCTCATGGTTAGTTTCTAGCAGACAGCCACTATCTTCTTTAGGGAAAAAAGCCATTAACACAGGCACCAGTCTTCAAAAGTCCATCTATCCCAGCCCCAGACAGGATCCTGATTTGAGCATTTCAGACAATTCAGGCTTATCTACACTGCTGCTGGGAACATGTTGGGATGCAGCTCAGGTTCTTCAGCTCCAGAAGCGCACAAGCTCCATCACCTAGACAGCAGCACAAGGCCAGCCAACAAAGGAATGCTCTGTGGTTTCTTGTTGGCAACAAGACCCATAAGATGGTTCATGGCTTGTTGTTTTGTCCACACAAAAGCTTCAAGACCCTTGAATTTGAAACAAAGTTTGTTACACACTGACTAAACACCTTCAGTCAAGTCACCAGAGTTGCCCAAGGATGATCAGAGTGCAGAATCCCACCCTGGAACGCTATAATAAATTTATGGTGAACAAAATCTAGTAACCTTGAACATAGAATTTTTCACTTAAACTCACCTAGGAGCATCCAGATTGCAAATCGAATCCACGTGCCTGCATCTAGCTGCATCATGAGGTAAACATTCACAAAAATACTCCCAACAGGAAGAAAGGGCAAAAAAGGTACCTGAAAAAGAATGAGGGATACGTTACATCTACAATCATGGTTAATGAGCAGGAACAAACATCACATCCCTTGTAAATGGGAAGTAATGGCTGTTACCAACTCTTCAGCTGCCAGATCTGAGAAAAGGCAAGGTTAAACCCAAAAGGACATCAGTCCAATACAGGAGGGGCATGTAAGCGATGCTGTTCACCTGTTTTAAAAGCTTATTTTGTGGTCTAGAAGAGGGAAGAGGCAAATTTTAATGGCAATACTAAATACTCATGGGGCAAAGGAGAGAAGAGTAAAAACCAAGGACTGTATCATGACAAGCACCTATTGTAGACCAAGAGATGCAGGTAAGGGAATGTCAGAGGAGGGACCTGAGGAACTTCATCCATCAGGTACCAAAGCAATAGAGAGCAAATTATCCCAAAGTTAGGCAAACCAGCAAATACTGCAAGAGATGACTACAGGAGCACCAAGAATGCCTTAGTGCTCTGAGAATCAAAGAATGAGACAGCAAAGCCAAAATACAAAAGTAAGAATACAGAAAATAGCACTGCAAATATACAATAAAACAAGGGAAATTATAATAATAGAAAAGTTTCTGAATATAGTGGAATTAAATGGAAAGTGAACTTCACTCCTAAGGGGAAACGGGGATTTACAAAATAAACAGGCTGAAATGTGGGCCTTTCTTAATTTAAGCTTTGCAAAAAAAAATTTATGTGCAGTAGCTGCTCACATCATTAGAGAGAGGGGATAGGCACACAAATTACAAAAGAGAAGAATATTTTTATTAATTTGGCTTTGTCAAGTCAGTAGAGACAAAAAAAAAATTTCCCTAGGTGGGTGAGTTATGTACCCAGAGATTGCAGAAGTGATCTCTGAACTATTAAATAAGCAATTCTGAGAGCATTTGGTAGGCTGGTATAATCTCTGAAGACTGGATAAGAGAGAAAAATTACCTGTTAAAAATACAGAAAAACAGCTGGGAAACAAACAGGTCAGCCTTGGATTTCCAGAGTGATTTTGGAGAAAAATCACTGTCAGGATGTAAATGCCCAAAGAACAGCAAAGAGATAAGAAACAAGGTTGTCAAGCATTGGAACAGGCTACCCAGGTAAGTGGTGCGGTCATCAGTTCTGCAGGTGTTTAAAAGACATGCAGATGTAGCATTTTGGGACATGGTTTAGAGGTGGACTTAGCAGTCCTGGGCTAATGGTTGGACTTGATGATCTTAAAGGTCTTTTCCAACCAAAATGATTCTATGATTTTATGATTACAGATTTAGCTGTGACAGGTATAATCTTCTTTTTACTTGGACAAGGTAGTGGCTGAGGGGGAAAAAAGGAGATGAAATACCCTGAGTGAAAGGTGAACAGACCTCCTCAGAAGCATGTTCAGAAAATAAGATCTAGATGAGAGTTCATAACTTTTTTGCTCCTGGAAATTTCTGTTTTCACCTTTGGGACCATTAACCCAAAATGAGCTGCAAACACAACCTTGGAAAACTGGTTATATTAAGTTACTAAAATCTGTGAATTTACTGAAAATTTTTAATTGAAGAGCAATCCAAATGAAAGCAATTTAGAGGATGGAATTATAATCCAAAATTAATTAAATAAATTGCAGAGCTACCTGAAATCAATATGATAAAGCATGACTTGTAGGATTACACTGGGAGGAAAAACCCATTCCAGTGTTTGTTTAATATGGAAAGGAGGGTGTGCTTGGAGAGGGCAGGAAAGCAACAGAATCCCTCATACTTAAGGCTGTTTAAGAGAGAATGGTCATCCCTTAGCCTCCATGGAGACTAAGGAGGACATGAAAGTGAACTCTTAGTGCCTTAGATCTTTGCAAACAAGTTTACTTTTTGTGTTCTTTCTCCTTTTGTATCCACGATCTGATGTGGTCCTTCACAACTGTCCCCTCTCCTCCAGTGTCTGTCTCTTCCCTATCCTATACCTATCAGCTTTCAAAAGCAGGGTCCTGCCTTCCCTTCCAGCCACACCTCTGCAGCAGGTTCCACCTTTCCACAGCTTCTCCTGGATAGAAAAATTGACATCATGCCTCTATTCTATGCACGCCCATTTGGCCAGTGTCCCCCTTCTGATACAGGCCAACACATGCACTTCCTCCTCCAACCACCTCCCAGATACCTCTTTTCTAGCTTCATGTCCCAGGACATTCACCTTAAAGGAGAGTTTGGTTTTGCTTTCAGGCTGTTTCCGTATAATGAAGATGACAGTGACAACAAGGATGGCAGCAATAATCTGTACAGTGTTTATCAGAATGTTTGGCTCAAGGGAAGTCAGGATACAGATACCCACAATAAGGAAACCTGTGAACAGACACCAAAGGTTACTGATTTTTTACCTTTTTTTTTAGATAGAGAGAAAGCCCGAGAACAAATCATAAGCAGGCAAAGCAGAATCTGAAAGCTCACAAACAAAACAGCGACTCACAAAAACCCTACCCATAACAGATATGTCTTTCCCACTACACACCCCCACACACTCCATCTGTGGATTTCTTTTTAAGAAATCAGAAATTTAATCTTCAGTTATTCTGGCCATTACAAGAGCTCATCAAATCACATAATGGAGGTGAGCTTTCCCACCATGGTGAGAACAAAGCCCTACCAGATGACTCATTGCCCCAGAGACCACTGCCCAGCACTCACCTAAGATAAAGGTTGAGACATTCACCACCAAACCTGAGAATTTGGAAGGATCTGAATCTGTGGAACACAGTATGGCTTTGAGGGAAAACTTCTCCTCTTCCTCTGGCAGAAAACCAGCCTGTGATTCACTGGTGCTCACAGACTCGTTGTTATCTGTCTCCTCTGTCGACCTTGCCATCTGGTATGCCAAATTAGGCTGCTCTGGCTGGTACCTAGGAAAAGGAAATGACACAAAGAGAGCCTGTTAGTTTGGCTTTTAAATGAGAGTATCACTCATTTAAAAGCCACACAGATAGCCATGGCTGCATGCCAGAGCTTTACAGCACCAGAACAGGCCCACATCATGTCTATACCCTTCTGCTTCAAGAGGAAATTTGAGAATGATGTCATCATGATGTAAGCCAATATGACCAGCTCTAATCACCTACAGCTTGGTTGTAACATAAGTGTTTTAAAGTGGACAGTGCTCCCTTTCATGAACTCTGTCATCCACATCACCAAGACATGACTGGGTCACAGGAGAAGGTAAGAGCAGAGGGACAGACCGATGGTCATAACCAGGCCATTGTGTCATCTGTGGCAGTTCAGCTCTTGCATTTTGGCACGGAGCTGGCTGAGCTAACAACTCTGCAGCTATCACACCCTGCAGCAGCATTCCTGGCAGCCCCGCTCCTCCACCCCTGGCTCTTCTGCCAGCTTGTCTGCTGCCACACAAGGAACGAAGAGCTGAAGCAAGAATGGCTGTTGCATGTGTGGATAGCACATTCAACAGGGCTGTGGCACACAACGATGTGGAATCATAAATTAAAAACACTCATCCAGCCTCAGCTCTCTATTACAGAATGTTTTGTCAAGTTACTCAGCCACAGGTCTGACTAAAGGACTGGGCCACCTTAGTTACCTTAAAACTGCTCCTGTGGCGATGTGCTCACAATGAGGCATTTGTTAAACACTGAGAATTGTGAAATTCAGTGAAACCCTTGGGTCTAGCCACAGCAAGAAACTAGTGGAAGGATCCTACAGCTCTGGAAACAATTCAGCTGCTACATCATTTAGCAGTCAAGAGGCAGACAAATCCACTGCCAAGGTCACTACAAAACAGGCTGTCGCCTCTGCCAACCCATGATGGAGGAAATGTCATGCAATAGCAGCTTGCAAAAACAAATTAAAAAGCTATTTCTAGCTCTGAGGAAAAGAATAGGCTGGAAAACCAGGAAACTTAAGATGGATAAGGTAAAGCAGAAAGAATTTTCAAGGGGCAGGGAGCAGAGCACAAACACAAAGCAATGGTACCACAGAACAGCACTGGCCCTTCACCTGCTGTAAGACTGTTCTTAGTTCAGTGCAATTGCTGCTAAAGCCTCCATCTCATTCTGAAGAAGTCATTCAACAAACAAAGGTACTTTTCAGTAACATGATCTTCAGATATTTTTTTCATTGAGTGCTGCTGTCAGTAAGGTGCCAAGCACTGAAGGTTTTTAGCTTAGCTTTGGGAAGCTGTGGGAGCTCAGCACTTCTAAGAGACACACCGATCCTGCAAGCACATGCTCAGTTCTTTTCCTGCTACTAGACTGCATCTCAAATCCCCTTTCAAAAGGAGGACAACCTGAAATGGTGTCCCCACTAGGGACACGACTGGGGACAAAACAGGCATCCAGGAACACACAACTTTCCTCCCTACCCCTTGGCGTATCTCCGGGGGCATTTAGAGTTGACCATAGCAGAACTGGCATGAACAAGGACCTCCCTGTAGATCCAACTAACACAATCCCCCACAAAATTAAAGAAACAAGCTCTTCATATGCCTGTAGCTGGAGATGTGCCCATAGAAACTATGAGGGCATCTGACTGCTGTGTGGAATTCACTCTGTGTGCCAGAAGAGACAAAGCTTCTACATTCTTACCTCAGTACCAACACACAGGCTGCTACCAAGGAGTAAGCCAGGAGGGTCCCGATGGACATGAGGTCCACAAGATCTTTCAAGTCAAACAGAAAGGCCATAACAGCTGTAGGAGGAGAGGAAGGTAAGAGAGAAGAAAAATCAGCAACATGGCAGAACACGCATATCTCAGCAGCGTTAATAATGATGCAGCACACATGTGACTCTTGCTCAGGACTTGGTAGGGGAGTTTAATATGTCCCAAGAGAAGGAGAGCCAGCCCTTGGTGCATGAGTACTCCAAGACTCCACAGGCTGTCCCAGCCTCACTAGCTGAAACAATAGGAAATGCTTACTACAATAAGTTCCAGCCTGTTTGTCTCACACAGCTATAATCACCCAACTACCAACAAAAAGCAGGGGTTTAAGCCACAGCCTCACTGTTAGTGCCCCAGTGCAGCTGCAGCACTCCTAAAGCCACAATTATCTCCTGGAAGTAGCTAGAGGGAATAGAGGATGGGCAGCACCTTGCCCTGGTGCCTCAGCTCAGATAGGCTGCAATCAGGCTTGTGCATGCAGTGGACCAAGCATCAAACAGGGCACCTTCAAGCACCAGGTGTCATCATGGGGATTTCCAGAAAAAGGCTGCCATTCCTTAGGGATTACCCTGCTTACACACCCTCACCAGATAACCCTGGTTATACAGGAATTTGTATATGGCTTTCAGAAGGCAAGTAAGTGGATAAAAGACACACAGTCAGACATCAGGTGGCACCAACAGCTATATGAGAGTGTAGGGACTTCAGAGTCAAGCCTGGCCCAACCTTAATGCACAACCTGGAACTCAATACCAGCCCAACCTTCAAACTCAGCTGGCAAATGTTGTGTCTGCAGCTTCGTATGGGTTTTGGTCATAGGCACTATGGACCACTTGGATGAGACCACAATGTTGATTTTTTTTTTTCCTTTATATTGCTCCAGACCATTGCCCCACCATGGTCTGGACCCAAGAATACCTGAAGAGGAAGGTGCGGGAGAAGGAAGCTGTGAGGAGGCTCTGCGAGTCCCAGCAGCAGGAGCTGAGCCCTTTCACAGGAGCTCAGAGCCCAGGGCAGCAGTCCAGCAGCAACTTCCCACCAAAGGTGGCACATTCTTGTAGCCACGGCTCATCCTGCATTTGCAGCAGAAGGTAAAGAGGAAGCAGCAAGGCTGCTCCCCTCTTTGCCAGGCATTTTGAGGAAGGGGGAGGCTGCAGGCTGCAAGAACAGGGTAAGTTGCTCATCCTTGCTGTCCGGGAGGTTTAATTCCCATATTTCTGGCATGCCAGGCAAAAAAGGGGAGAAGAGGATGGCTGCCAGCTGTGACTAACTGATTAACAAATGCCAGTGCCACAGGAGCCATCTGCTCATCTCCGGCTGCTCTCGAATTTTCTGCAGGGCTGCTACCCACAGGCAGTGCAGTGTCTTCAGCCAAGCCAGGCCAACAGCCACAAGGATGCTGGGGCACCACTGGCTGCTGCCTAGCAGGGCATTAATTACTTTTAAGGCTGGCTGAACAGATAAAGGTAGTTCCTGACATGAGACAGGATTGTAAGCAATGAGCTCTGAGAAAGAGGGACAAGCACACAGCAAGCTACTCACGCTCCCCCAGACTCTCCCAGGGCATGCCCTAGAAATCCAGGACACTCTCTGGGATGCTGTATTCTGCAATATATCCAATTAGTAAGTGGGCTAGAGTCAGGCAGACTTATCTGCCCTGAAGATGAGCTTATGTCTCCTTTCCACACATTTGTGCAAGTCTTTGGATCCTACCTGAAGTAGCTCCTGAGGTCACTGTTGCAATTAAGGGAGTTTTTCTCTTTTCGTTGACTTTAGCCAAAAATTTAAAGAGAAGTCCATCTTCTGCCATAGCATAAATTATTCGAGGCATCGGAAACATGGAGCCAAGGAGACTATGGACACAGGAAGGAGAAATAATCTACTTATATCACCTCCTGCTGAGCACAGGCACACAAGTGAAAGCAAGTTTATGGCAGTGTAACTATAGAACAGGTAGCTTTCATTCACTTCAGCTTCTCCTTCAAGAGCACCCTCTGAATACCCTTTTTATTGATAGCTGGTAAATGAGGTGCAGCTCTATGACTTTGGATAACTAAACTATTTTGGATAGTCTCTGTGAGTTGCTCACCTAATTGAGTATGTCTAAGTTGATCTGCAATAGGCCTTCCAAGTTCAAGAGGTGACATGTTCTGCCTCCAGCCTGCCCTGCCTCCCTTCCAGATGGCTGTCCTGCAGGTAACCTGTAGACAGATGGCCCTGGATAAGGTAAGCCCCATGCACTCCTGAAGATGCACCCTGCATTACCTGACAAGTCTGCTCTCACCCAGCAGGCCAGGATGTCTTGCACCCAAACCATGCTTGCATTGCATAGTTGCCTCCATGACTTAGTCACTCAATCCAGATTTATATTCCTGAGATGCACCTGCTGGGTCTTCTGCTAAGATGGGAGCTTCTGAAGTGATACTGGTCACCTGCTTCTCTGGTACCTACCACAGGGTGAAATCCTGGTCCTTCTGAGGTCAGTAGCTCTGAATTTCATCCCTGGTCTCTGCTCCATTTCTTAAAGGAGGTGGAGGTACATGAAAGATGTACCTTGAGAGATGCAAAAATGAAAAGCAGTGTCTTACCTTGTAGAAAGTGCACACAAGGAACCAACAGCCACTGCATAATTGGCTCCATCCCAACCCACGTATTTAAAGGCATTGGGTAAAGGGCTATTGGTATCCAGCTGGTAGTAAGGCATCATGAGCGTCAGGGCAGCCGACACGCCAAAATAAGCCACAAAGCAGATGAGAAGAGATGCCACAATGCCAATAGGAATGGCCTTCTGAGGGTTTTTTACCTCCTCACCTACAAGAAAGGAATTTAAATATCAGCTAAATGACAAGCAAGACCTTTATCCCAACCTAGGGCAGGTGTGCTGGTTGGGGCTTTCAAACATTTCGTGGGCACAGAGGTGCTCTTTAACCTTAATACTGCTGATGGCCTGCTCCATCTACTTGGGATTTCACAGCCTGTTTGAGCCCATTTCTGCTGCTCCTGTCACTTCTTCTGACACACATTCATGGAAGCCTTGTAAACTGAGGCACAGAAACAATCTGGATTACAAATAATCCTTTCCCCTAAACAGATCATCCTTCTATCCTCCTTGTGGTGCAGATCAAGAAGAGTTCAATGATCACAGATGATGGAATGAGAAATTATTGTGCAGTTGCAGGGAAAAATCCATGGATGGCCATTTTAGTAACATCTCCAGAATTAGTACACCATGATCATGGCACCATAGGTGCCTATTTCCAATGTCTGTAAGTCACATGAATCTTTGAAAATACCTCTTAACAAAAGGATCTCCTCTAGATTTTGTGGAAAATTTTCAACAACCAAGTGGGAAAAAACTGTGTGTAAAAAACCAAAATTCCTCAAAATTCAGGGACTGATCAATTACACAACAGATTTGCGCTTTCCTAGTCCTACAAAACTGCTCTGAAAGCAAGAGCTCCTGAGGTGCAGCATTTCAGCCAGATGAACTGATAAACACAGATCCATACACCTACAAGCCAAAAGCAGATGTATGTTTCTCCCACAAGGAGAGGCTCCAGGGCTGGCTGGAGTAATGGAGCCAACACTTCAACTCCTTGCTTGGAACAAGACGCAGTAATGCTTTATATTCGTCTGTGATGATTCCTTTCTCCCTCTGCTGTAATGGTTCTTGCCAAATGTGAAATTAAGGATAATCCTTTCTTCAGGGAATTAAGCCACAAGAAATATGACTATGCTGATGCTTCTCTCTCAAAATGAGACCTCTTAAACTTTACAGGTAAAAACTCCTGATTCTGAGGCACAGCTCTAGGGTGCAGTTTACTCCCCAGAGGCTTCCTCTTTCTCTGGATCTTTAAAATAAGCCAAGCCATCAGAGCTTCTTCAGCTGAAGGCACTAAAGAACTCTGTTCCAGAATAACCTGTTGTTTAAAGTATTATCTGGAGTTAGAGGCTCAAACTCATTCCAGAAATATGAACCTGAGCTTTCCTTGTTTGCCTAGCTGGTAAACCCGGACATGTTTTCTGTGGAGTCTGACCTGCTTGTGTCATCACTGACCATCCACAAGCTTGGGCCCTGCAGGCAAAGAAAGGAGGAAGCTCGTGGTTATACAGTTCATCCATTGCCACAGTCAGCACTCAATCAGGCACTCAGGGACTTGAACAAACTTTTACTATTAGGAACAGCTGAGCCAAAAGCCTATTTTGAGGCTTCTGAGGTTCAGAGAGACGACAAATGTGGTGTCCTGAATTCTCTATTATCTCTGCAACATTATTGAAAGTCAATCTACTGACATCCAGGTTCATAACCAGAATGAAGACATTTTCCCTCTTACCTGTAGTAGCAATACAGTCAAATCCCACAAAAGCATAAAAACACGTAGCTGCCCCTGAGAGGACTCCTTTCCATCCATAGGGCATAAACCCTCCAACACCGTAGAGATTTTCTTCCTGTGTTTGACTGAAAGGCATGGCACTGGGTTAGAAGTGATCCTGCCTAGCTGGGAGTCACAAAGCTATTCACATAGCTCATAACAAAATCCAAATCCAAAGTCAAGAAGCAGGCTCTACCTTCCATATGCTAGCATACAAATACCAGGCAAAATGCTAAGCCCTACCCACTGATGAGCTTTGGACTGGCCTACAAGAGCCTGGGGAATGCATGGAATAAAAATGGTTCATGGTTTGTTCCTACCACCTGTTTTGTGGGGTGGATAAAAATGTCTTGGCTAAGACAAGGAGAAAATAGCATGAATATTAAAAATAATCCCCTAACATTACTGCATGCATGTAGATACATATATTCATTTGAACAGAAGCTTTTGGAAAAGCTGAAGACTGAGAACATGTGAACCATCCACTTTTTACTTCAGATGGTCTCAGATAAAGTGTAGGTGAGTAGACATAACAGAAGAATGCAGGGTGCCACGATTGTTTACAATCCACCCCATCTTCCATTCTCATCTTTCAAATTCCTTGGGCAAAGCTCGTACTCAAACCATGCCTGCAACAGTGAGAGAAAAGTGGAGCCTGGATCCCTGGCACACCAAATGCTTTGATGAGCTTCAAGCAAAGTTCATTTAAGTCAACAAACTCAGGATGATCCCAGTGCACTCTGGATTGCGACCCCATATCCATGTGCCTTGTGTTGAGTGACATATAACAAGCACACCCTTCAGTTCAAGTGATTTAGGTCACTTTTTCAGTGAAAAGCCTTTCTAAAGATGAATTAAGGCAGTTAAACTAAACCAAATCTCAAATCTGCAAGTCTTCTCACATATAAGTATCTGAACTCTCTCATAGAAGCTCTGCTGTGACTTAGATGAAAACTGGCTTACAGAAATAGCACAACCCAAATGTGGGTTAGTCTGGAAATAATGATAAAATAAACCCCAGACAGATTTTACAAAAATAGTAAGTCATAGAGGTCAAAGAGCTGCACTCATACTTAGAAACTCTTGCAGTAATTGCTCCTTGCATGGGAATAGCAGGAGGGAAGGAGAAGGGACCCATCCTATAGAAGCAATTTATTTGCAGAAGGTTGAATTTTGAAAAGAGGTTCAAGAAGCGGCTTTTACACAAGATAAATCTGACTGACACAACACTTATGAATCTCACCAGATTTTGCCCAACAGTGTTTCCTTGCAGGCCATCATAAAAGGCCTGACACATGTAGGGATATTTAAAGGCCCTTATTCTGCATGGTACAGTGTCAAGCAAAAATTAATAGCTTTGTCTTACTGGTAAGCCTTGTAAGCGCCTTAATTTTGACCTTGTGTAGGATGACAGAATTTTGGCCAAGCAGCAAAATGTCATTAAAAACAGATTTATTATATGCTTGCAGCAATTCATTAAAATAATCTGCAACTTGCCTTCATTTTATTGAGGCATTTGGGACAAGGTCTCTATAAGGTATAATAATGCCCCAAGGGTATTGCCCAAATATTCAAAGAAAGTATACAGCTATACTTGGACATGGCTTCATACAGGCACCAGAGCCAGCTTGGTGTAGATTTGAGTAGAACACCATCTCAAGAGCTCTTTTCTCTCAATTTTAGATACTATATTGGTTATAAGGCTAGAAATGGTCAGTCGTGCAGCAGGGCCCAGGATAACACAGCCAACTCCTAGCACTTTCAGCCCATCAGCACAGCCTGCTTTCAGCAAACACACACCGAAGACAGCTTTGCCTCCAAAGTATGTGGCAAAGGAGGCAGCCATCCCATTCACTGGTTTTCTAAATCAATCCACAACCCCCCATTTAAACTTTATTTTGAAAATGCACCAGCTTCTGAGATGAGAAGAAAACATCCAACCTACTTGTCTTTGAAAATGCTATGGCTGGTGTTGTAAATGTCCTGTTCAGTCAGGTTCCAGTTTTTAACAGATCCTTTCACAAAACCGGAGATCACGACAAATCCAAGGACAAGGACATTGATGCAGGTGAACACTTTGTTCACCAGGGCAGATTCTTTCACACCAAAAGCTAAAAGTCCTGGGGAAAAAATGGCATAGGTCAGGTATTTCACCACCAGCTGCAGGTGCTGGGGACTCACAGACATAGCTCAACTGTGTTTATGCTGTGCTCTGCCCAAATTATCACACTTTGTTTCTTTACAAAACCAAGTAGTTCAGGATTCACTCACCCAGAAGCAGGATAAGGATTTCAGCTCAGACATTATTTCTGCAGAATGTGACACACCCTCCCACCCAGCACACCCATGCAGACCATGTCTCCAGTAGAGTGCTTTGCTAATACACTTAAACTACTCCCACAACCTCAAAAGCCACACAGACACCGAGAGAAAGCACAACAGGTGGTTTTCAAGGAAGGAACATTGTCCTAGAAGTTTTGGCTAAATGCAGAAGTTATGAACAACACCCAACTTTCCTTAGAAACGGGGAAATATAGCAGAGACCAAATCCAGGAGGATTCTACTTTTAATACCTACTTCTAGAGCTGAAGACAAAGAAGATGGCATTTTGGGAATCCTGCTCCCACTTAAATCAGCAAGAGTTTTGCCAGTGAGTTCAGTGCGAGCAGGATTTCAGCTTGGCCTTAAGATCATCTATCTGAAGAAGAGCATGGCTACAGGCCTTGGCAAACAGAATCACACTGAGGCACAACTTGGCTTCTCAGGTTAACAAGTTCTCTTCACTTCCTCTTCAGGTGTCTGATTTTTAAGAACTGAAACTTTTAACTCAAATCTAAGGCTGAAGGAGAAGTAAAAAAACTTCACACGGGCCTGAGGGAGAACAGAAGCACAACACAGTCTCCTTTTACTGCTACTCAAGGGACTTGAATGAGAGAGGAGCATCCTGTGTACTCACCTTTCCTTCTTTTAAGGAATAAGTAAGAAATACACAGTGACAGCCATTTCAGAAGCCATCCCAGCCCACAAAAATTTGTAAGGTGCTTTTTAGAAATCTGAAGCTCAAGACAGTGCAAGCAGAAATAAATTTGTGATGATGGTATTTGAGACTAAAGCTGCTCTTTTTAGAAAATAATGGGATTTTTAGAAAATAATGGTTTGCCTTTTTTATTAAAATCCATGGAATTTGCTTCATGCAGGAGGATAAAGCCACCTTATTATAAAGTAACCTTTATCACTTTACACCTCAGGAGTTCTAAATTTTGTAAATTGTATCTGAAGTGAAAGACCAGATCTGATTTGAAATGAGCAATTCATATTACATACAAATGAACAAAGGGGAAAAATCTCTCCCATTCAGATGTAATCCTGAAAACAGAGGGCTGCTATTGGCATCAGCAGCCCTAGATCCAAATGCAAGCCCAAATGCCAAAGCATCCCTTGCTTATGAGGCCTGTCCCCATGAGCACAGCTCACACTGGGAAGGCCATTCCGATCAGTGGGAAAGGTCAGGATAACCTTGCTAGTGTGACACTGCAGCTTCTGCCCACTGGAAACCACAGAGGAGTACAGAAGCATAATTTTAAAAACTTGCCTAAACTTGGTAATGCTTTGCAAGACCCAGCTGGAGTAGAGGTAGGCATTCAGAATTTTGACGTTGCAAGTTGTCAAAACTTTTCAAATTTATGTAAAAAGGCTCAGCACATCTTTAGGAAAAAAAAATGGTGCAGACTGTCTCTGACACATTTATTTCTCTGGAGTTTTGTATTCAATGCTGCCCATATATATTAAAAAAACCCCAAAACTAAAACAGTAGTACATGAAACTGGAACCAAGCCCTCTTTCTTTTTTTCCTCACTTTCACAGCTCAAGCCATCAAAAATTGGCAGATTATCAAAGGGGGAATAAGGCTGATAGACCAACTGCATGAAATTCTTGTGTAATAGGATTTGTGGAGGGAAGGATTAAACTCCTACACCTGACTTGAGGATAACAAGTCATCTTTTCTTTTCCTCTTTATATAAAATTTGATTGAAGCTTTTAAAAGTGGCTCAAAAAATATCAAGAATGCTCCTCTCTAATTAAAAACCTTGTAAACTGGCCCTGTGCTAACTCCACAGCTATATAGATCAATCCAATACTGGTATCAAAGGAAGTCTTCAATATGTTGTTCAAGATAAATCAGGACTTCATGCTCATTCCAAAAGCAAACAATGAGAAGGAGGTGCAAGACCCATGAACCCCTCCAGTGCCTCACCTGTTAGGATGATGATTATCACCACAGCAAAGATGTCTGGGTATTTTGCTAGCACTCCGGGAGCATCCATCGTCATGTATTTTTTACAAAATTTTTCAATGTGCTGCCCTATGATTTCATCAAACGTCGCGCTCCAGGCTCTGGCCACACTGGAGGTTCCTGCCAGAGGATAGAAAGGACAAAGATCACCCTTTGTGGCTGGCACATGTTCCAAACCAGGGGGCACCTTGTATGGTTTTTCAATACAGAGGGTCTCAAAGCAGCCTTGCATGTGCTCCCAGGTGCTGGGAGCAGCCGTTCATATCCATACCCAGCCCACAGCCTGTGTTCATGTTTGGCATCTGCTCTGATAGTAACACACACAGGTGGTGGGCCTCAGATTTATGCTAAGCTGACAAGATGAGAAAAATCTTTTTAGTCTGGCTTCTTTGCAAACCTCAACCTCACCTTAGATAGTGCCCTGACTTTTTCCTTGCACCTTCAAGGGCCTACCCTTCCCCCAAACCTGGTAATTTCTGTTACCAGAGAAGTCCAGATGTAATGTTGGCAGAAGACCCTGGAACCCCCATTTAGGTGGCTGCAGCCCAGGCAGAGAGCCCTTACAGAATCCAGCTGCTCTCTAGCACTGCAGTGCCGGAGCACCAGAGCCTGGACCACACCAGTGGCCAGCTCTGCGATCTGGCAGCACTCAGGTCTGCTCTGACCTCCAGTGCTAGAGCATCCAAGCAAGAAAAAGACTCAGATACAATTTACATGTTATCTGAGCATAAGTCAGCCTATTGCAGAATGCTGGGCACGACCACAGCAAGCAGAACAGCTCCTGCCTGCAGCAAGTGCTCAGGCTTCACCCTCTGAGGCCACTTTTTGTTTCTGTTTGAGTGCATCCTACTATGTGCAGCTTGCTGGGATGAGGACTGAACCTGGGGTCTCAGGACAAGCAAGCTCGGGACAGTGTCTGGGCCATAAAAGTAATTTTAGAGAACTAAAATAGTAACAACAAAGAGCTACCACCAGACAGTGACAGCATTTTGTGAAATAAGTAGGTTTAGATAAAACCCAACTTCTCCCTCTCCTCTGTTAACGTGGCTCCTGTTACACTCCCAGTGTCTCATACAGTTCATACACTATATATAACAGCACCTAATTGCATATCACAATTATTACTGTACACAATTACGTAGTTAAAAAAAGAGCTTGGGTTGGTTTTGGCTTGCAGAGCAGCTCCTTAGAGGGGCCCCTTTCCACCCAGAACAGTCTGTCCTGCCACACTCACCTGAGAGTGGGTGTTCAGGTCCCAACTCCGGCACCTGCAATCCTGTCAAACAATGTCTGTGCTCACCTACAGCCAAATCCTCTGCAGCAGTGGTGAGCAGCACCTGCAGCACAGCTGGGAACACTCACCTGCCCAATCCAGCTTTGCAACAGCATAAAAATTAAACTGCAGAACAGACCTGTTGGGAGACTCTTCTGTTCACCAAGACAGAAAAGTGCACAGTGTGAACACCTTTAAAGAGTTTGGACGTCACTGCCATCAATTTAATCTTGAAAAATTGCAAAAGTTATCGTACAACACATTACAATTTTTCAGGTTAGCTTTGGTACAATTTGAGTAAAAAGACTATTTTAGTGCTACTTTTTTTGTCCTAGCTCTAATATTTTACATTTTAGGACAGGAACACCCAGGTCATGCATGTGTCATATTAGATGCCAGCTGCTTTGATGCCAGCGCCACATAACTATCAGCCATTTATCTGGATCTCTCTGTAATCAACAGGCTTGAGGGAGCAGGGGGAATCTGACATTCTTTCAACACAGACACCTGGATAATATCTTGCTGCTATTAGAGAGCACAGTGCAGACATTCAGCTTGTACCCAGGAAGATTTACTAGTTCTGGGTCAGCATAGCCCCACCAGAGCAGATTTGGCTCCTGCCTACAGCACACAGCTGCCAGAAGAACTGCAGAGCTCAGGTGCCAGGCTCGCTGCAGGAACAAGCATGGGCAAGGAGGTCACCACGTGCCAGGAATCCCCAGCAGCACTTACTGAACAGAGATGTTGTTACTCATCACAGCACCAGCTCCCACCAGTTTCTAGTTCTTGAAACGCATTCCACAATCTGGAACAGTTCCCCAAACCCACATCATCCTAGAAAAAAGTTTACATCAGATCCTGGTCCTGGACACCCTTCTCTTTCTCTCTAGACCATAACTGATAAGCTGCATACCCATTTATTTCTCATCACCCATCTCCAAGACTCCACACAAGCCTTCCCCCAAGTCAAGTCACTTCAATTAATTAAAAGTTACTGGCCACCCATCCTTGGGACTCCAGGATTTCTTTTTCCACCCTCACAATACTTCCTGAGCCGATGTCTGAGAACCTCAGCATGAAAACACCAAGCTGGCCAAGCCCTTAAGAGATGCACATTTTAAATGCACTGCTTGCCATTTTCTCAGCAAGATTAAGAAAAAAAAAAACAGCTTTCTGCCCCTCTCAAGCCCTGGCTCTGAAGTGCAGTGTGTGCTGTCAGAGACTGGAAGGACTGATGTCCCGAGACACTTAAGGATGCCTGCGTGTTTGAGAGTGAGCAGGTTAAGCTTTTCCCTGGTGAGGCAGTGCCTTGCCTCCACACCCCCCAGTCTCTATTCCAGCACTGCACTGGCACACCAGGGGCAGGTCTCCACTCTGCCTAACCCAGTTCCTGAGTAGCCAAATGACCAGAAGTCCCACCACCAAGTTTTTAAGGCTGAGCACGAGTGCAGCACATCTTGATCCTACCTTCCTCTTGGAGTTTGATTCTGAACACTGCTGGAAGACAGGCATTGGTAGCTATGTGTGCTCTTCTATATCTTCTCTGTCTTTCACTCCTTCTAATTCCCTCTTCTTGGAAGATTTTGAGTAACTAACAGGTTTAAAGTTTGCTAAGTTGGATGGGCAAAATTAATGCTGTGAGAAGTGTTTTTATGTTGATCACATGTTGTACTGAGTCTTTAGCCAAAGTCTCCTAATCTTTCAAAAGTTTGCCAGAAAACTTTTGTGCTATTTTGACTTCTTGAGACTATCTAGTCAGTATTTCTCCCATGTGTCTAAGCAGAGTACAGGAACCATTATAAACACTTCGAAAAGTCTCATTGAGTGAGCTGACTGGAACCTGAAAGTGGAAGACAACATATCTTTCTCCTCCATACCCCAGAAGCTGCTGGGAGTTGTCCTTGCTCACAATAGGGGCAATTAGATCTGGCAGAAAAGCTGAGCAAGATAAGGAGACCTCCTACACTTCATACCCTCTGCCAGAGTTTTTCCACCTTAGCCACCCTTTCTCACAAATTATGAGAAAGACAGTTTGCAAATACACATTCTTGACACAGGACTGAAATAAAAGTAAGGAAGTTGTATTTGAACACATTCATGGATAGTATCTACTTATTTTTAACTGAATTTCCTGTCTTGTGACAATACAGTGAGTAGTCAACTCTGAAATAAGAACTGAGACAGTTGTTCAAAATCCATTATGAGAGGAAAAAAAAAAATCTCGGAAATACCACTCTGAGCCCAGATCCTCGGAGTAGAACATTCAGTAGGCAAAACTTTTCATTGTGCATTTGCAGAATCAGGTTTTGGGACAGCAACCACGGCTATGTCACTCATTTTGGTCGTCCAGTATCATGGTAGGAATGGCCCCAAAACCAACTAGATGAAGGGCATGAAGGAGACGATTTATCATTACCTTTCTGGAACAGAAGAAAAATTACCAAGAAGTCTGTTCAATTTTTCTTCGTGTAGCCTAAGCAGAGTCCATCGTAGAAGTGTGGAAGAAATTATACACTTACTTTTTTTAAAAACTTATTTTTATCTACTCCCTGCAGTGAATGTAATTCACAAAATAGCTACAGGACTCTGATTTCTTAAGGACAGGAGTTTAATTGACTCTGGCTTTTCATCTTCTGGTTTTTTTTGGTTTTTTATTTTAAAGAAGGAGGGGAAGAGGAGAAAAATATTTCTGATAACACACAGAGGAAAGCCAGCATGATCTCAGACAGGCAGCTGCTATGCCACTATGTTGTTCTTGATATGATCTTACCCTCCAAGCACCATGGAAACTAAATTCCAAGGTAATGCTTACAAACCCCATAAAATGCATTTAAAAATACCAACTCCCTTTAGTAATTTAGTATACAGTCAGTTTTCATTTTAACTAGCAAACGTTCAGTCTCAACTGCTGAGACTGTTGCAGCCTTAGAAGCGTGATAACAAGCAGCCTGCCCAGAATGTGCTTGAAAAGACACAAATCCTTAATTAGCAAAATGTGGCTTAGTTTTAATGCATCAGCTGAGTTGCACAGCGCATGCTTTGAGCTTGAGCCAGGGCCTCTCCTAGTGGGAGTCAAGGACTTAGGAGGGATTTGGTTTGTATTTTCCAGAGACTGTGAACCTGCAGATCATCTCAAGATTAATTCTGCAGCAATTCACAAGACAAAACTCTTATCTCCAGATACTTTAAATAGGTCCCAAAGGGACCAGAATTAATCCTTGATCAACTGTAAGTACAGACACTGCATAAAAGCATCTTTCTGTAAGCAGCTCCTTTCTCAGCAGAGAGGACACTCTTTAGCACCCTAGCAACTGTGCAGAAGCCAGGGGATGACAGAGGGATGAGGTGGAGGTTCAGAGGAATTCCCAGCAGCAATAAGCCTTCAGCCAGCAGCACAGGAGCCATCAAAAATGCATCCCACTGGCGAGTCCCGAAATCCTGGGTGAGTGCAAGAGTGAAGCATCTATTTTGTAACAGTAACACAGGTGTGACCAGAAACAAGTGTGACCCTACAGACCAGGCTGCCACCTTGAACTGAAGCTAGGCTCTCGAGCACCCCCAGCACACTTACCGATAACATAGGAGAGGATTAGATTCCAGCCTGTGACGAAGGCCCACAGCTCACCCACGGTCACGTAGCTGTAGAGATAAGCTGATCCCGTCTTAGGAACTCGAGCGCCGAATTCTCCATAGCAGAGTCCGGCCAGCACCGAAGCCAAGGCGGCAATCAAGAAGGAGATAACGATGGCAGGCCCGGCGTTTTCCCGTGCCACAGCTCCAGCCAGTACATAGACACCTGCACCCAAAGTGCTGCCTACACCCAGAGCCACCAAGTCAAACGTGTTAAGGCATCGCGAGAGGCGACTGTCTTCTCGAGAGCAGTCCACATTTTTCCGACGAAGAAGCTGGTTTCCAAAATTGGTAATTTTCTGACACTCCATCTTGCTGTTTGCACCTGCAAGAAAGATTCTGTCATCATTATCCAGACCAGAATAGCCCCCTACACCAGCATCACTGCACTGGTACAATGCTACAGCCCTGTTACATTTCAGCAAATGAAACTTCCCATTTTCCACCTTTTTACTGGGTGAAATGTCTCCTTTGACATTTTATCTAGACCTACCATGGAGAATTAAAACAAACAACACCAACGTTCTTCTTCCAACTCTCAGTCTTGCTGCAAACCTTGTGCAATTCCAGGAGAGAGGCAATATTCCAGTCCTGCTCCCACCCTGCTCCACGGTCACTTAGTTTGCACACAAGTGGGAAAACTAAAAATGCAAATTTTGTCCTTCCAATTTCAGAGGAGTTCTCCTGTTCTGGGCAAGAGAGTACTTTAAAAGTGAATGTCCCAGTTTCCCCATTTTCCACACTTCGGTCCACATTGCAGAGAGCTGGTGGAGTGCACAAACCCTGTACTACTGGGATGAATTTAAACCTGAGGACATTGCAGGGATGTACATAATACCTCTCAACCTGACAGTCTGAGGAAACAGCTACTCCAGGACAATCTCCTCTGTAAGATGTGTTGTATAGACATCAGATTTTCTCTGCTTTACTCTATAAATCTCCAGGTTGTGTGGCCACAGCCTACAAGGATGAACCTCATCTTCCATCTCAGACTGCATCCCCTAGCTCCAACAGCTATCCACCCTGATATCCACACTGTACCATTTAGCCTGGCTTCAACAACAGGGCTTTAAAAATGTTTCTTCATTAATTATGGAAAAGGAAAAAGGATCTTTTATTTCGATGCAATGCTGGATTGAGACATACATTTTCCAGCAGTACACATTGCACACAGACATCAATACTGTGCTGAGAATAACGTGCAGGCAAAAACGCTCCTAAATGCAATTTACAGTAGAGTTCAGTGAGATTGGTACTTCATCCGCTCCAGCTAAAACCTAGTGTAAAAGGTGGGAAAACACATGCTAAGAAACTTAATTACCCGGGGCAACTGTTAAATCCATGTTTCAACTTCGTTACCACAGCATCAACTACAAAACCAAAAATCCTCTTCACTTTTCCAAGACACCCGTCTAAGTCCATAAGGCTTAAATCCCTCTCTCTTGGCTTTACACTAACTCCCTACTATGAGAAAGTAATTACAACTGCAGGAACAGGACTGTGGATTTACAGGGCCCACTGTGTCAGGAATTGTACCTCACCAACAGCTCTCAAACATGCTCCCAACAGACATGGATTTAGACAAATAAGGAAAGGCAGGTTTTAGGCCAATCTTATAAAGCTCTTGTTTCATTAACCATGGGAGTTCCCAACACATACAGAGAGGAAAACTATCTTCTCCCTTCAGCAGGAAGACAGACCTACGTCTTTACTTAAACGCATTCATGTCAGATTGTTCACTCAGTCTCGTTTTCACCTGAACCTTACCCAAATCCATGTCAGTCAGGATTGCTTTTGGCTGGACAACTGCCTACCTCCCTAAAGCTGGGACAGGGCAGTCACAAATTTTGAAGTGGGTTAAATGGACAAGAAGATTGTGGTACTGGAGTGTCTCCTATGAATTCTGATGCTTTCTAGGATGCTACCTAACAACAGTGGTAGATCTTTTACTTCCTCCACAGCCATCTACCTTAACAAAATCTGGTATCCTGCAAAACAAACATAACTTCGTGGTTTTAATTCTGCCCTGAAAATGAAGGGGTAACTGGTCCCCCAATTCCCTGCCCCATCACAAACACACACATCACGAGAAATCACCTCCCTGGCAAAAACAGGGTTGGTGAGGGGCAACACCCCCAGGACAGGAACAGATCCTTGGTGCAGAGATGAAGGATCAAGGTGAGAACTTTGCAAGGTCCTAAGGGGCAGGGCGACATACAATTTATTCACTAAAAAAATAACCTAGTGAATTATTTCAAGTTTACATATCACTTGAGAGTATCCCAGAAGAAAGTTATTTCAAAACAATTTCATTTGGAAGCTCCCTTGGGCCTATCTACAGGTGTGCACAGCTGTACTATGGCCATCAAGAATAAAACAGAATTGCTTTTTATGAATAATTTGCTTAGAAGAGGGGCTATTTAATTCTGACAGACCTGGAAATTAAGACCAACATCCTGCAATTGGCTTAATACCAGCAGACAATGCTCTTCCAGCTGAACTCCAGATAAAGATATCAACTACCTCTTTCACAAAAAACATGTCAAAGTCTGAGCATCTCTGTTGTGAATAGAATACATCCTATAACCTGCAGGTAACCAACAGGGAGCCTGGAATGCAGCCATGTTCTGTGGCCCTCACACGCAGCACTGTCATTCATCTCACAGGCCACTGATCACCATCCTAAGCATCTCTCACATGTTTTCTTTGCTTTTGAAACAGCAGGTATCAAATCAACCTTTTACTTTCAATTATATTCACTGTCACTTAACAAAGAGACCTTCAATGAAGACAAGTGGCATTTTTTTCAGGAGAACAATCTTTTGGTTTAGCAGGATGCAGTACAGACTCATTACACTTCTGCCCAAAACCTATGTATCGTTTGTTATCTTTGCAAGTGTATCAAAGGGTGATTTTGGCAGAGATTATGATTTTTCCCTTCCTTAGAAGTTGGATCCAGCTGTGATTTCGCCTTCTGAAACAGTCATCCTTGACTTTGAAGTGACCCTTTGTTCTAGGCTGCTTCCACTCCCAACCTCGCTTAAAAAGATGAGCCTTTTTTTTGAATGCACAGTCAGTATTCCCGTAGCATAATGCGGTCCTAATAACATAAAACAATATAAATTATTCCAGAAATGTTTCCAGATGGTACCTAACCACCTTCAAGCTGAGGAAACTTGAATCTGAATGAATATAGATGAGTTTTGTTCTGCACATGCCTAGCTCTCACCCCTGCCTTAGCTCTGGTTTCTCCAATGAGAATGCTGAGCTGCAAGTCCCAGCCACTCAGACCCTGGGTAGGAAATGGCTTCACCCCAAGACTTTGGGTATCTCCATGTTCTGGCTGGAGCAGAGGTCTTAGGGAGTGGTGGGAAGCAAGGACACACCCAGGTAGCCTAGCAGGGTGGGCCCCGGGCCAGGGACCACATCCTTGGGTGAATCCTGTCCCACCAAGTCAATGGCAAAGCTCCCACCAACTTCAATAGTCCGACTGCTACTGGTGTTTTATTTACAGTGCATTTTATGTTTATTACTTTTGTTCCCTGTCCAACTTTTTGTGCCTTGCCTCTATTGTATTTTCAAATAAAATAAGGTATTCTTCCTCCTTTTATCTAATGGTTACTATTATATCAGGTTGATAGATTTCCTTCCCCATTCCTCAAACCCATAAGAAAACAAGCAATCTGCCATGTGGTTGATAGCAAAAAGTAAACCATAATAAACATCTGTCCAGTTAAACATAAAACACCATGTGTAAAAATAAGCTGACAGGGCACCATTTTACATAAGCAATACTATCACTTCCTCAAAATTACAAGTTGTTTCAACTTCTGAAATGCTACCCCTTACCTACTTCAAGGCATTGCTGTTCCTGAGAATTTTCTTCTCCAATTTGCAGAAGAGCATAAAACTAAAGCTGATTAGGCAGAACAAGGAGTTTTCTACTAAAGAAAGAAGAAAACCTACGCCTAACCTTGCTCCATGTCCAACAAAGTCCCCAGACATCTCCTTGGAGGATGAGTGAGCTTAAATCCTCATTCAACCTTGTCCCACATATGCTTATATCCATTTTGAAACACATGAAAATGTCTACTGCCATCAGTACCCTTCTCTCACAGCAAAGTCATGTCCTGTGGACAAACTGACATTTGTTGAAGACCAGAAGGATGTTGAGGAAAAATATCCACCATGCAGCTGTATAATCACTGCTACAAGTTTGCAGAACAACAAGCTTGCGCTTGCACCATGCTGGTGTATTTGACAATTTCACCTTGTATTTTTAGTTCAAACACGGTCCCCAAACAAGCATGTAGTGATGATGCCAAGCAGTTGATCAACACATCGGTAACAAACCCCTTTGGGAGCTCTTTCCAAAAGGCTGATTTTGCTGCTTCCATCCCCAAGGGAGCATCATTCACACAGAAGTCCTACAGAGGAAAAGAGGTAGAAAACAACTCCTACTACTACTGTTAGCGTTACAGGTATTTTTGGGGTGTCAGATTTGACTGTAGACTCCTACATGCAAAAGGTAATAAAGTAAGGGACCAAACTAGATATCCTGAATGTTTTCCAAAGCATCATTCAGAAAACCAAGGCACGTTAGTCCTGGGTGTGATCCATTCCAGTATAAAGAGAGAATTGTGTCATATATGTCCTTCCAAAATATCTTGCCTTGGAAAACTCCAATGTTTTATGTTACTCTGCAAAAAGCAACAGAGGAGTCAAAATAACTACAGAGGATGCTGAGCCTTCCCAACAGATATTTGAGCACCTATCTCTAGACTTTCAGAAACAGAAGCAAAGGATGTAGCATCCTACCCTGAACTGCATCTGGCTATGTTCTTGAAGCAGCTGCAAGTGCCCCCATCAGCTGTGCTGGAGAAGTCAGGCAGTTTAGAGAAGACAAGCTTGGGACAAATGCTGAGGACCGACTCAGAGACTGATTGTAGCTATTTGCAGACGCAGCCACCAGCAAAGAAGCCAGTGAAAGCGAAGGCATGACCAAGCATTATGCACAGCTGGAAGTCACCTCACTACAGTAGCAGCAATGGCAAGGAGTCCAAGCCAAAAGCCACCAAAGTAGCTGCAATTCTTTGCATTTGTTTCACTGTGTGTGAAGAGATGTTGTCCTGCTGAAGTATTTCAACTAGAAAAGGAAGGTAATGTCTATGAGCTGTTAAATTGTTCCCTTCTTATCATTTTTTTTAATATGTGTGCAAATGTATGCATATATCTCAATATACATTAATCTAGATTACATTTGAGTGTATATACTTATATATATATGGACATTAATCTTAAATTATTTGCCAATTTTGTCATTAG